ACACACACACACACACACACACACACACACACACACACACACACACACACACACACACACACAATGGGGTATGCTGTAGTAGAATGAAGAGAATTTAATTCTACATACTGAACAGGTGAGGGCAGCAGAGCAGCATGCAGACATGTTGATTAAAACTGAGCAGCTAAATCGCCTGCTGTCATGCAGTGAGGCGCAGTGAAGGAATTACAGAAGAGAACAAAGAAGAAGCAAGGTGACCCTGTCACAGTACTTCAGATGCACTTGGCTATGATTTGAAGTTACACTATGTGCAGAGGTCCACTTTAAACACATGCAGATGACTCAGGTAGCAGGGAAACTCAAATCCTTTATAAAACATCCTGTCAAGCCAAAGTCATGCTCAAACAGAATTGTGATAAAGTGCAGGAGTTAGTCTGACGAATCCCACAGGAATGACTTCTTTCAGTATTTCTATTGCCTTCAACAGAGGACTTCAGACACGCAGAAGTATGAGTTTGACAATAATATGCAGGATAAATGATAAGTTATAGAGGAAAATATAAAAAAAAGCTAATGGCAGCAAGTGAAATGAGAAATGCAGACAAGTGAGTGATTCTTCGTGGGGGTCCTGCTGGCATTTTCTCTAGAAACCACCGTAGCCGAGACATTTCTCTGCTTATCACAGACTTTGTAATTCATCACAGTGGGGAAGCTCATCTGTGAACAGTCACAGCAGCGCAAGGCTCCTCAAATGTCTTTCAATTATCCCTCCATTACTGGTGCGGCATTATGCATCATTCGAAACAGTCATTTCAGTGGGTAGTGAATGGCTTTACTATTAAAGTGGGCACATGTCAAGCAGCAAAACAAGGGTGGATATAATACTGTGTGCTATTAGAGAAGCGGCCATGATGGTCATAAGCAGGTGCTCTCATTACAAAGCAATAGATTTTTTCATTTTGTTTTGAAGTAAAATAATCATATTATCCTTATAACCTCATTAAACAGCCTGCTGCTTCAAAAGACAGCAAATGAGAGGAGAAAATGAATCGTATCTTCCCACAGCAGAGAGCAACACTGCTGAAAGGTTGGAGATGCAAAGAAGCAACTCTATGTTAAACCCATTAAGACCAGATGTGTGTTCAGATCTTTAAGACAGGGTGTGATGTCTGTGTGCTTCTAAGAGACCTTTCTTATCCACGATGTGATTGTTTTCAAGACGTGTGACTGATGACATACGTCGTGATTCCCTGACATACTCAAGGGACAGGTAAAATGTATTGTGGGAAATGTAGTTTGTTTCAGACGATGGCTGACGATCTTAGCGACTGGAGCGATATTGATGCAGAGCACACCAGTGTTTTATTGACAAAAACAACAGAGAAGATTCAGATGTTAAGACGCTGACCAAGTCAGAAAAGATAATGTTTGTGGAGGAAGAGGAAGGGGGGGGGACTCTCTACGAGGGTGGGAATTTCTCAGAGTTTGCCGGCCTTGTGTTTTGTTTGTTCATGAAGTTTAGGAAAACGAAAATGATTTACAACCCAAACCAAACGTTTAGCCTATCTTATCTTTATCTGCTTCAGAGGCTAGGTTAGGTTGGAAAACCTTCAGGTTTTCGTGGGCACTTTTATTCGGCACCTTCGGTCTTAATGGGTTCAGTAAAATGTTAATCTTTTGGCTAAAATAGAATAAGGTGGGATTCGTAGTCAGAATTTTGATGAGTTGTGTTAAAACACCCTGAGGCTATGCATTGTAATGCATCTTTCCCTCCACATCCACTCACCTTGTGTGCAGTGACAGCAAACTGTTCAGCACTGTTCATCATGTCCGCAGTCCTCTCCTCGGTCCGACCTAATCGCTCACCGCGCTCATTCAGAGCCTGGCTGGCCTTCTGTACAGCACTCGTCACACTGTCAGCGGCTGAGTGTAGTATACTGTTACCTGCAGATAACAGAGGGAACCAGGGAGCCAGAGCAGATGGGCAAAGAGAGTAAGAAAAGTGAAGGAGGAAAGACAAAAAGGAAAGAGATCATCAGTCATCTAATCATCATTAGATGGGTGTCATCCAATCAGTGACCCCGGGTATTACTATTTAATGGTTAATGGTGGAGGACTAAAACATGAAAAAGTAAATGGCCTTCCACCAGGGCCAACGAGGGAAGGTGGCTAATGACTTTTCTTCAAAGCTGATTTACTTCAAGGAAAGAGCAAGTGAAATTAACCTTTTCAAACTTAAAGGAATGCAACAGCGACACATTAACGCTGGATTTAGTGTCTCTTTTTAGGAGAGGATGTCATTTCTGGTGACATTCAGCGCTGCTTTGGTGCCAGCTCTGTGATTGTTCTTCTCTATTCTAACCTACAGAGCAACACAGAGGGGATGTGTGCTCTGCTTCACTGGCAGCCCTGGAGAGGAATCAGCATCGGCTATAAGACAGAACACATCTTCAGAGAGCTGTGGCAGCCCTGCGGAAGTATCTTCTGACAAGCCATTAATCCACTGCAGTGCTGCTGTTATGTGCTACGCTAACAACTCGCTAAGAAAAGCAATCTTCCTGCTGCCTTGTCTTTGTTGGCGATACAGTTGCATTTTTACAGTGGGGTATAATGTGTCATTAATATAAATGTGAGAAAATATCTGCATCGTTTTTTAAAGTCGTCACCTACTACTGATGGGATCTGCTATTTAGCTGGCCGGAAAGAGACAAGTTGAAAAGTAATTTTTAATTACAACAGAGCAGCACCACAGAGTCCTCAATGATTAAAAATGAGCACAACAGTCTACTCATAAATGACACATAGAGCTATTGGAGTTTGGTGTGGGGTGTAACAGAACTTCAAAACCTCAGTTTTGAGGTCACTGTTCAGTTTTCAGCAGAGAGCAACCAAAAAATACAAAACAATAAAATGCATATTTTCTCTTTTCGTTTTAAATGTAACCCTTCTTTATTTGACAATGGCTGTTGCTGGATCCAACCTACTAATAAGGTGCAGTTGCAAATGTAATCAAAGACTTGAGTGTGGGACTAAATCACTTTCAGCATGTCTTAAAACGTGTGTTCCAGAGTATTACGATTTGTCAGCTGCTATAAAAACACCAAAAAGCATTTGTTATTAAGAGTTTGGATACCCCACCCGGTCAAGCTGGGTTCAGAGGCTTTCTACTTGATTTTTTTTTTATAGTGCACATGTTAGTAATCAGGGAAAACATCAAACTCAGGTCGGGTTCAGACAGAAAATACAGAATGCCTGTTGGGTTCAAGTCCAGCTCGATTTGTTTTCTCTCTGTTGGGTGAGGATATAAAATCGCGACCTTCACCCTATTTCTTATTGCTTTGGCCTGGTCTGAACAGTTAGCAAGAGGATGCTAAAATGCCAAGGAGTATGTTGTCTACTCCTGCAGACAATTTCAAAAAGTTGAAAGGTTTGGGAAATAATAAAGAAAATGACAAACACCAGGTGATAAGATAAGCCAGAGGAAGTCTATATTCTCAGATAAACAGTAAATGAGTTTGAGGAGAAGAAATAGACAGAGCAACAGCTTGAAGGTGCTGACTGCATTAAGACCTGACAATCTTTTCCCACAGGAAACAACAATATAGTGAGTCTATGTCCCGTAGCATCAATGCAGGTAGTCTGAGTGACAGATAATTGGGACAGCTCCACTGCAGTGGGTTATATGACGGCCCCAAAAGCAGACGGCGAGGCCAGCTGGTTTTCTCTCACAAGAAGTTAACTTGATAAAGTCAAAGCAATTTTCTGTAGACACACAAATGTTCCGCAGACATACACAGATGGACATACTGCTCTTCATACCCACGCACTAGAGGAAATGGAAACTCTTACATCAGCTAATTTTCCAGAGATTACAATAAATGAAGCCCAGGTGCGAACACATCTGGACTAATGGTGAACTAATGATCACCTTTTCATTTTGCATTTGCAAAAAATTTGATACCAAAGTACAAAGTATAACGGTAAAATGATGCAGTACAACAAAGATTTAGTATTTAGCAATCCATCAAATTTGACTTGTGTAGCCCATATTTACAAATCACAATTTGTCTCATAGAGCTTAACAAGGCCTTTACTTTCTCAACTTTGAATATGACACCATGAGCAAAGTTATGTAACCACAATACCTTGCAAATGAGGATTCCAGATTACATATAACACATTCCTGCTCCGCTTCTGTCTGAGGGGGAAGAAAAAATATTTTCTCACAGTGGCTTTAGGTCTCCACTAGAAAGGAGACCTTTTCACCTTCAGACAGATTCCTCTTAATCTTCTCCTCCTGCAGAGTAACCCAGGGAGTAATACTCCCATCATCCCTCAATATCACCCCCACCCTCGCAGCCTCTCCACGCCGTTCACCCATAGAACATGTCTGCGCACCATTTTCCTTCTTCTCTCTCGGTGGTGGGCGGCAGCGTGGGCTCCCCCGGTGGAGAATGTAATTGCAGAAAAAAGGTGTGTGGGAGTGGTTTATGTTACGTGGTGCCCCCGCTGTGATCGGCTTTAATGTGTCTCAACTTAAAATGGTAACTGATCAGCAATCCCTGTTATTAGTGGGGATAACAGCAGGTCTTTGGTTTTACTTTGGAGATTCGCTGGTATTAATTCAGTCTGCATTTTAATGAGGCAGGGGTTCACAGTTTGTCCCATTATGACCCTTCTGCTGCACAGGTGAATCTAAAAGAGGAGCTTTTTCATTTTTCATCCACATACATTGTTGATTAAGAATGACCTGGAGTACAGTCTGGAGCCGAACCGAGAACATCCATGACACACCTCTCTCAAAAATGCAGAAGGAATTTTGTTGCTATACCCCATGATGTCCTCATAATAAGCCAGGGTTTCTTTAACAATGGAGAATGGAGAAAAAGGGAAGTTGTTTTCCTATCAACAAAATATTGTAGAAAATAGGAGCCGTGGCTCAAGGAAGGAAGAGGAAAGATCATTCGACGTCAACTTCTTTTCCACTTCAGCTGTAGGCAGTAGATAACAGGCTACACTGCTGATGGATATCAACAGGAACATGTCAGAAAATAAACACAATTCAGATTTGCTCTGAAGGCATACAGGATGGTTAATTTCAAGAAGAAACACCTACACAAAACAGATTGATGCAAATGATACAAGATGATGAAGTGCCTTTCATACTTTCACTCTGGCAGCGTGCATGATCATATCATCACTGTGCAGGGATAATGCTGTGGGGTGTAATGTGTGGGTGTTTGAAGAGAGAGTGTGTGTCTTACAATAATTTCCTTACATACTTATCTGCACTCCGACAAGTTCCATCAAAACGTCTCCTTATTACCCAGAGATTACCAGAGGGCTTTAAGGCTGCTGTTATTCACTCAAAAGAAACATGAAGCCTTCAAGGATTTCTTTAAGTGATCTCAATCCTACTCAATCGTATCCAGAGTCTCTTGACTTTAAAGTAAATTGTAATTGCCATTATTTTAATCCAGGGCGTCCTTTTCCCCAGTTTCTGCTCTTTTGAGATCTTGTTTTACTGGAGGTTTATGTAATTTCAGTTCACAGAGGACATACAGCATGATTACATTTTCCTAATGTTAAGTTGATGATCTGACTAACAAAGCTAAGTGCACACACAAAAAAATACAAGTTATGGTCACTTTTAAACTCATATTTACATTTAGCTCAACTGTGTGTGGTCCATTAAACAACCATTCTAGAAATCTCTGTCTGATGTTCATCTTATCAGCTTCACACTTGACATGTGTTTTATTCAAGGCCCAAGGAAGTGCAGTGTCGAATTTGGTGCAATTGGGACGCGTTCAATATTAACAAACTTTAAATAAACAGGCGACCAGCTCTCTGTAGCAGCAGCGGCTGGGACTCATCAACGTAAGTGACGCCGTTTATTACAACAACAGCACGTTCACATGAACAGCAACAACAACTGATTCCACTGGGTTCCGCGCACTGAGTCGAGCTTCACTGAACTTTGAATAAACAGGTGAACAGCAGCGATGGCGTGGGTTCAGGTCTCTGGAGCAGGTCTTTACTGGCCGGCTCAATTCCTGCAGGGCAGTTTCAGAAAGAAAATGGCAAGCAGCATCACCACAGGTCAAGCAAACAGTCCATTCCAAACACAAACGGGCAGAGCACTAGTTAAACATCAATGACAGAATCACAAGGTAAAGGATAAGAAGCCAGAAAAGTACTGAAACTACAAAATACTTATTTATCTAATATAACATTTATTTTGTGTGGTGAGTGCATGAGATTCTAAGTTGGAATTTAAGTGTTATTGTGATGAATGAAGCTGACATAGATTATGTTAAATACAACAAAGTATAATGGATGCATCAAGGTTCTTTTAATGCTTTAGTAGGCTGATAAATAATATTTCTTATCTGATGACATTGAAAATGATCATTTCAATCTGACTTACTTATAGTCCTTAATTTATTATGTGCATGTTATTTCTTATTTCATGTAATACTACAAAGGCAAGTTTAAGTATTGATGCTGCTGTATCATATTATCTGATGGATTATGTATGAAATAAGAAAAAAACAGAACAGGCTATTTTAATCCTCACATGGGTCAGTTTAATTAATGCAAATCTTGACATTACCTGCAGCAGTACATGATAAACTATAGCAGAGGTTCCAGGGAGGTCACCTCCCCCGGGCAATCCTGATACACACCTATTATTTCTTCCTCGTCTCTTATCCAATCACTTTTCTTCACATTATTCCTGCAGTTATTCCTCATGCAGTTAATTCACAATTTCAGTGGTCACCCCCCAAACCTTTCATAGAGGGCAGTTCTCTCTATATTTCCAATTCCACCCCCCACCCACCATGAAGTACATTATAACCTGTAAATGCAGCTTACTATATATGTCTCATATACATTAAATCATAGTCTATTGGACAGCACAATGCTGCTTGTTCTCATTCCCACCTCCGCAGGCATAGGATCTTAACTAGTTTAACATCAGTCATCAACAAATAATCTCAGCTGTTAATTTAAAATGTGTGGATCAATGTTGAGGTTGACGACAAATGATCCTATTATAACTAGTAATAGAGCTGTTAGTGTGGAGGCCCTATTACCTTTTTGGCCCCTCCGGCATGAACTACATTTGTTATTGCATTATAATTTTGGATGTGTAGCAACTGAATGACACCTTCAATCTCATCAAACTCGGAAAAAAGCGAGGAGATCAATCTGCCCCTGACATTTTTCTGTTGGACAAACAGTTTGGCCTTTCTTAATCAGTTGGCCTTTTGTTTAGTCATGCTGGTTAAAAGGCATCAGCGAGCCACTGACGCCACAAACATGGAACATTCTGTCTTCAAAGTACCTCAACACTGCAGTGACACGGACATAACAACGGCTACTAGGTATTAATGAAGAGAATACTCTTAGCGGCTGTTCACAGAGCAGATAACATCTGCATCACATAATACACTAATATCCATCATTCGAGTCAAGACTAATCTTACATTTTATTTTGTTAAATTATATTAAGAAGTATAGAACAGTAAGAAATCCATTAGCACAGAATCATTCAATCACTGTACCAGAATAACTGTCATCAAACTGTGATCTACCTCTGCACATACAGTGCACAGGAGGACAGTGAGCACAAGTCACCTTTTAATGGAAACTTAAATTCCCTTCCAGCGTGTACTGAACCCCAACAGTGCTAACACACACACACACACAGTTTAAATTTGAACTAGAGTACAGCTCTGTAAAATTAACAACATGGGTCGGTTAAGTCCCTGAGAGCCAGGAGCACACCCTTAGTTCAGACCTTTGGAAAAACAGGATTCATTTTAAACTTTTTGAAATCAAACTTTGCAGAATGACCCAATTTATAATACTAAGACTTTCAAATGTGTCTTATAGTGTACTTAAGATATTGCTGCTGCTAATCCCTAATGGAAATCAGGTGCCCTTGGAACATATCTTGTATCATATATGTAGCACTATTTCTAAAACATAGAAAAGTATCTTAACAAACTACGGACGTCATCACTTGATAGTGGGAGATGTTTGTTTAACTTATTTTGTTTACTGATCTTGACTTCTTGAAGAGCTCAGCACATTTTAGTAAGGAATAATTCAGGGAGTTGTTTTGTAAACCATCGTCTTACCTTGTCTTAGCAGATGACCATGGTGGGCAACAAATTCTTTCCTCTTTCTGTGCAAAAAGACCTTGCAACGGAAAATGACTGAATCTACAGCTTGGTCTTCTGCGGTGAGAGAATTTTGACAGTCATGGTCAGATTTGATCTTTAAAACAGTTTTGAAATTAGTCAAGACAGGTTATCATTTTTGGGATATGAAACCACAAGTTAAAGGGTTCAGTTGTTTGTAGTTGTCATGCAACTGTTAAACTGGTTACTGTTATATCATTTATCTGTTGTGTAAAATGTATACTGCACAGTAAAACATGTATTACTGGGTATTTCTATGTTAAGGAACAGTAACTAGTGAGACACGTTGGTAAAAAATCCACTTCACGCAGGCTGCTTGTTCACCACAGAATGAAGTAGTCTTAAGCTTAACAAGCTCCAAGAATGTCAATGACGAGTTTGCCTCATACTGCAGGCTTAAAAACATTCACATATCTCACTGAATTACATTTTAACCTTGAATCTACCACGTCTTATTTGAATTTCTTTGCATATCCACATCAAATCCTTAATTAATTATTTAACAGGGGCCTTTACTGCTCTATCATATATTCACATTTTAAGAGTCAGAGACATTATTTTGATCATGGTGTTTACATGAGAGGCTAATAGAATATTCTATTCACATTACAGTCTACATATTAGAGCACACACCCTGATCAGGACATCATTGCGTCATTACGTCTGACGTTATTCTGCAAGTTTCAATACCCCATCCTGAAATAGTTTAATGTAGGAATCTGATGTATTCATCATTTTGGGTGTTTTCTATCTAATTTTGCAAAAGCTAAAACTCCTTTCCATTTTTCCATCTTGTTTACACCAAGGTCATGTCATCAGTCAGTTGGGCTAAATCAGTCAGTGAAAATGATACTAGAAGTTATACTGCAAATCAGACGTACAGTATATATGTCTACAGCATACAGCTCAGGTCAGAATTCACAATAATGTAGTAATTTATAATTAATCAGAGACCACTGTTTACGCAGCTGTGTCTTGTTCAGACTATTGGCTGAATCGGGTTAATGTCGGAATATTGGTGTCAAACTGTGCATGTACACATAGTCATTGATGAATTACATTGATTACATGGCCATTGTTTGTAGTCTACTTTCATTTCCATTGTTAGTCAGCCTGGGAAAACAGTTCAAGACGAGGCGTGTGAAGAACCAAGCTGCTGCCCACCGACATTGTCAAGTTTTAACATCCCCAGTTCAGACATGCTCGAACCAAAACCCCTCCTGAGAGATCATCAGCTACTTTAATCATATGCTTGTTAGCTTGAACGGCTAAAGGGCGTTAAATGAAGTGTTTTCATTGCACTGATTAACACGTCTTAATTCCTGTCTCTGTGGCTCATATAAGTCAAAGTGAATTAACCGTGTGTATTTTATCTTTTCATGCGACTGCCATCCAGGGCATCTTTGCTGTTTGAGTCTCCCACAGTTATGGTCCCACACCTGAGCAGCGTCATGATTTTTGTTTTGCACTGGTGTGAGACTTAAACTGGAGTAGACAGATTGCTTCAGGCTGAAATCTTCACTGTTCCTCTTATCGCAAAGTGCGGGTCCTCTACACACTGGGAGCCAGGAGTTTATTATCAGATCATCACCCTGAAGGATTTCCATCATGGTGCTGATAGCTAGATCAATAGCTGATATTACAAAACCTGCTTTCATGGCCCTTAAACGTGTATTTTAAGACATTTTTGTGAGTAAATTCATCAATACATTACGAGGCTGTGATGTGCCTTATAATCATTTATGACTTGTTCAGTTAAAATAACAATAATTAAGTGTAATTTTCAGATCTACTGGAGGCGTTTGATTAATGTGGAACATTTGCACTGAATAATCCATCCCACTCTAAAGACCCCTGGGTTCAGTGCTCTCCCCAACACCACTTCCTTCCCACCTACACATTTGCAGGCCATAGTATCCACCAGGGGTACATGTAAGCGAGTTACACATGGACGGGGTTTTGCGGAGTAGGAGGGAGGTCAAGGCAACGTAACAGGAAGGAGAAGGAGAAGCAGCATCTTTATCATGAATGGTCAGATAGTGGGATCCCACACACAGGCTAAGGAAAGGAGCAAAAGCAAATTTGACAGTAATTATACTACCACACATACTCTACTACTTAATAGACCATACAGTATATTTTAGTGTAGTATAATGCAAAAAGTTTAAAAAAAAAATTTCACCTACTTCTTATGTTTATTTATTTGTCTTTTTATCATAATTCTCTAGATCTGTATACATTTCTGTTCTAATGTAACTTTTTTTTGCATGAAGAGTGTCAGCTTTAACCAAGTTTTCATAACATTATCAATAGTTCTACGCCTTTCTCACAGCAAAATGTAATTTATAGTGATACAGTTCAAAGTTTTAAATCTGGTAAAGCAAACATTTTCTTTTCTATTTCAGGTAATTGATTCCTGTATGCTGGGCAGATGGACAACCTGCAGGCGGTTATGGAGTTTCCATAAATAATCCCATGAATAATACAACAGGTTGACTGGTGCTCACAGATGAGGTGTGGGGGGTAAACAGATCAATATCTGATCAAGACACGCAGCATGCTACATTCTCCACTGGGTTGCTCTGCAGCAAAAAACAACACAACTCTTCACCTACCAGGTAACAAACAAAGCAGCCAGGATATCACCAATTATCTGGTTTTACTTTTACATTTCACACGTCCGGCATGTTTGGGAATCGGTTGTGTTTTGACATGTTCTATCAGTGTGTCTTGTTGGGCATGAAATCAGTATTATTTTCAGAGGGAGAGGTTAGTTTTGGACTGACTGTTTCTTCTCAGTCTAACAGATTTAGTATCAGACAATAATTAAGGGACTGTTACAGCACTTCAATGTTATTTTGAAGGGTGGAAACCAATCAAAACCAATCACACTTCAGGCACACGGCGAAATATTAACGTCTCATAAATTAGAGAAAATGATTGCTTAGTGTTGTATTTCTCTGTGCTGTAAAACCAGTTGATCTGTGTCAGATGCTTTGAGTCACTGCTGATGTATTTTGTTGGACATCCTCGTTGACCTCGCTTCGACAGAGAGCTCAACAGATGCTGTGTACGAGGGAATAAGCATTTAATATGCATTTTCATACGCACCAGGTGCTGGTTGTCATCATACATAATCAGATTCGGGCTGGCTTACAGCACAGTGTGACAGCAGCGAGTCTGTCACTGCAGAGCCACTGTGTTATCAACAGAAATATTCACTGAGAACAGTTCACGGAGCTTTTCAAATGGTCTTACCCCCCAGCAGTTTGGACTGACAGTTGATGAACTCTGGTTTCCGTGCTGAGCTGTAGCGCTGGCAGGTGTGGTGGAGAATCTGGATAAAGGTGCACTTCTCTCCTGCTGAACCGGCAACCCACTGGTCAAAAGCATTTTCAAACATCAGGTCAAACTCAGGAGAGTCCTAGGAGAGAAAAACAGTGAGAGGGTGGAGAATGTTATTTTGTCTCTACAGATTCTCAAGGCTATATTAACTAAATAAATACCAGGGGCTGAGTGGGAGTGAAAATGACATACTTTGTTAGGGTCGATGCCGTTGACCTGCCGTAGCTGGTCAATTGTCCACTGTGACCTTTTTACGAAGGCAGAGGATCCTTGGAACTGCTTCACCTTCGTGATGGATAAGTGGGAAGGTTTCTTATTTGTCACTGTGGAAACAAAAACAAGGAAACACATCACATGAAAATGCTGCAGCTAATCCAAACACCTACATTAAATTCCAGAGACTGAGGTCTCTGTGTAACTTCTTCAGATACCGTGCAGAAATTTAGATTAGGATAAATGTGATAGTTTGAGTCACAAGATGAGAAACATAAGAGTCAAGCAAAAGGAATAAGCTCCTTTCTGTGGGCGGCAGAAACAAAGGGATCCATTAACAATGGACAATTCACTTTCGGTGCCAATAGCAATAGAGACCATGATAACATTTCTCATGAGAAGACAGAGCCCATGAAAAGACAAAACCTTTACATATGGACTTGGCTTTTGTAGTTGAAACTGCACTATAATCTTATATGTACAATATGCTGTGTGATGAATTTCTGTTGTATTTCAGCGATATAAAGCAAATATTTCTACACAACTGGCTTGAAGAAAACAAACACTTGTATTGTTCCTGTCTGAGTACAAATAGCTGAGTGCTTTTATACAGTGCTGAGCACAACTCATTAATCTTCACACAAGTGATGTATTTCCTCCGCTGCACTGCTGACTTAATCTAAGTGGGTAACAAATTACACTTTCAAGCGTTGAGAAACTGGCTTTAAAAAGCTCACTAATGACAACATCAAACTGGGGTAAAACATTGTGTTTCCATTAAAATGATTAAGTATTGAAAATATTTTTTCATTCAGGAAAGAAATTGCAAAATTTTATGCGCAGCAAAAAAGAAAATTTTCTTATTATGAATAGAATAGGTGCCTATAACTTTCCTCAGATTTTGCACCTTCTTTCCAGTGACCTCATCACTTTGTCCTCAACATGGCCACTTGTGTCCTGGCCCTGAAAATCCATGCTCGACTCTTCCCATACAGAGATGACCCCGACCACGTATTTACAGATCATCGAGGCTCCCAGCTGGATGTGTGTGCATCTGGACACTGAACCCCTTTGTCTTGCTCAGGGGCAACATGCTCCTGTGTTGCTTTTTTAACCCCAGCAGCGAACCTCTGCTTCCGCTCTCTCTCTCCCATATTTGCCGTTGTGTCATCTCAGACAGAAAGGGAAGTGTTCAGGTCACTTTCACTGCAGCTGCCCTTTACTCACATACATTTCTCCAAAAACACATGGTTATCCTGCCGGCTGTCATGTTTCATTCGGCCTTTTGTTCAGGGTCACTTTGTGAAAACTCCACCACACCCGTGATTTTATGTTTAAAAATATAGGTAGGGGTTGAGTGTTACATCAGGTGATGCACTCAGTAAGTTAACTCCCCTGAGAGGAGGAATGTTTGGATATGTTTTGTGTATCCATTTAGACAGCTGCAGTTAATACTCGAGGTGCTGCACTGAGGATGCAGGGTGGAACAGACAAAGGCAGACAGATACAGTACAGGCAGACTGGCAGACACTTCTTTTTATTCTCTTCTTTGAGGACTTATTTTTATTCAAACCGACAGCCACAGCCATGACAAACAGAAGAAGTGAGTGATCAGAGCTGTCTCAGGTCACACAGTAGGCTAATAGAAGAAAGACGATGACAGCTGCGTAATGAACCAGTGTGTTGAACGAAGGAGTCTGGAAACGTAGGTCATCCAATTCGCAGCAAGAATAATTTACTATTCATGGCAGATGATTGACTAATGCACAGAACTACATTCTCTGAAATGATTTGGTTGAAATGGGGTTTTACTTGATAAGTGAAGGATTGGTAGCTGAGAGATGAAAGACCGACAGGAGAGAATAAGAATTTAACAAGAAACCATCTCTCTTTTAGATGTCGCCTTAAATTTATCTTTCCAGAATCATCCTACTACTATACTTTATAGGGCTGAGAATCTGAGAAAAAAAATTCAGCGACGTGCAAACATCAACGCACAAATATAAATCCTCACAGCAGCTTAGGGCCTGTGCATTTGTTCTCGACTCATATGAGGTCAAAGTGGTCATTGACAACTTAAATCTAATCAATTAATTTTTCCAAGCCTACGTGACAATTCAAAATTTGAAGACGCTCCTAAAGGCCAGACTTGAGTTATCATGTTCAAGACAAAAAAGGTTTTTGTGATGTTCTCATCAGTTCATCTTTGAGTCCAAGTGTGCATTTGTACCATATCTAAAGGATTCCCTGGATGTGTTCCTAAGATATCACATTCACACAACAAAAAGGTGAGGTCACTGAAACCTTAGACCTTTAAACACCAAAATCATATCACGTCATCCTTGACTCAAACTGAAATCTCGTACCAAATTTGAAGAAATTCTCTCAAGTCCTTCTTGAGATATATCCACAAGGATGGGACAGACAGACTGGAAAACGTAATACCCCAACGCAGGGGCATGAAAACAGAAATGGTAATTTTACAATAAGCTTTACCAACTGCTCATGTTTTATTGGTTGGTTTAATAATTTTTTTTTTTTACACCTAGAGCATATTGTACAACATAACGGATGAAAAATTCATGATAATGAATGAGTGCAACTGAGAGAGGCTTTGAGAGAGACATCCCTGCATTAGCATATTTATCACGGGCTCCGTGGTGAGCCTGCATTTGAAACAATCACAACTCCAGGATTAGAACAGTGGAGAAATGGCATGAAACACGAGAAACTCATTATTGCTCACATGGGGAGTAACATTTACTTCAGATTCAAACACAAAGTAGTGGCACCATATGGTTCTTTATGAAAAAAACAAAAAACTTTGACATTTCTCTAAAACCTGACTAAACTCATCTGCTATATATGTGAATATATTTCTGTGAAAATGACATGGCGTTTCAAGGACAGGGCTAAATTGTCAACACATCAACACTGAGGTCTTAATCAAAGTGCCAGACACCCTTCAGAGCCTCTAAAATCTATTTCATATTCAGCTGTTAACTCCCACCTAGTCTGAGTAGCTTCCCGGCATATTAATCAATTACTGAAAGCTAGGAGAGCTTTCCTTATTGAAACAGTAATCAAAGACAAGACTGTGAAAAAAAATGTACCCTCAATTAAACCTCATGTTGCTTTCACAGTAAATTTAATCACTGAGTGAGTGAGTGAGTGAGTGCAGAGAAAAGTCCAAGAAAGAACCCATAATATTTGGCCACACATCTAGACAATCTACATATATTGTTTCTGCAGGGTTCTCACTTTTTTTTCCGACAATTACCAAAGGAACGATACTTGGATTTTAACAGAAATACTATTATTCTTCCGTAATGGGGATAATAATTTAATGATTTGCATTGCTTTATTGGCTTAGCTATGTGGTTTGATTGGATTTAAGGCGACTGAAGGAAATTGGCAGTGCCAATCTAGTTTTATTATAATAATCCTAATGAGCCAAAGTCATATTGAGATTGGGATTCACGTACAAAGTTTGGACTCCCCTGTTGTTGTCCATGAACTGAAATGGATAGAATACGATAACTTCTACACTCAGAGGATACAACTCAAACTATTTGAATTCACACCCTGCGCTCGATGCTAACACATAATAAACCAGAGAATGATCAAACACCAGTTAACACTACATCAGGCATGTAGAAACAAGGATACTACTACAACCACTGGGAGGCTGCCAGGGTCATTGTTTCCATCAGGGCTGGCTGACAGAGGAAGGCCATGCTGGGGTTCCTGTCCTGCTTCTTTCTCATGCTCTGATGGTGACATGCTCTCACTTCCTGCAGTGGATCTGTCCCTTGTTGTGCTTGGCTATGCAAGAGTTCTACTCCCCTGAAGGGAAATTTAAAGTGTACCATTCACATACTGTGGCTGTTACACATGAAAACATTCTCAGGGTCAGCTTTGCCCCAAGGAAATGTTATCATAGTTGTGTAAGTTACTAGAGAAATGTGAGCTCCAGGGGGATTTCTGGCAAAAGCAGTAATGACATAAATGATCATGTGCGAAGCGTGCAGGGTGTCGATTTTGAATGCATACAAGATTTGTGGAAATGTTGGATTAGACACTATGAAAACACAGATCATCTGGAACAACTATTGAATGTATGAAGAAGTATCTGAGTTTACCAGAGACACCGTGAAAGCTAATAAAATATGAAGCAGGACCACCCACATGGGCATAACATTAATAACTTCCTTTCCCTCGTATGATACAACTTAATCCTCATGTCAACACTGACGCTTATCAAAAATCTAATTCCACAAGCTATAAATATGATATGCATCAACATTTTTGGGCCATCTGAGCCGAGATATAAAAAAATCCCGAACCAGAGAATAACAATAGATTAAATCAGATATGGAAGATAAAGTGTAGTTGTGCTGGTGGGGAAGTACAGTGTTGCTCTTGGAATCACTGGTTGTTTCAAGTTTTACCAAATGAGGCTGCTTCTAGAAACAATCTGTGTGCTGAAAGATTCAGCAGAAATAATTTTCAGGATTCAGCAAATGTTAAAACCTACCAGATCTTTCTTTGTATCACACTTACAGTTTAAATTAAGACCCTGTTACACAAGCTTAAAAGATAAAGGTATGTTTTTAATTATTTGATTCCCATCTGCCCTACTTCATTTTACAGCCTCTATCTCAACCATGTGGGCTAATGATCTCTTGACAAATCAGACGTCTTCAGTCAATGGGCCCTTTTGCTCTGACATTAAGTAGACACCGTTGGCATGGCAATGTTATTTGCATGGCACAAAAGACACCTGAGAAGCAGAGGCTGATACCAAGTCACTTTCATACAGGGAGAGTGAGCGAGGGCGGTTCACATGCGACTCGACGCCTGTTCACAATTAACTGGCTTTTGAAGCCATTTGGATATTGTTAAGATAGTAGGAAATGTTAATGGACAAAGCGCTTGGCCACAAGATCTGTTGTACTCTAGTCTGTTTGGCTTGGCCGACGGTCACACTCCATTGTAAAATAGGAATGCTCTCGAGGGACAGATCATACGTGGATGCAAAAACTAAACAGATGAGGCCTCATCATGAGCGGTGACTGTGAGTTTAGTGCAGAGTTCATGTGAGGAAAAG